TACATGAAGAAGTCTATATGGATCCTCCACCTGGTTTTGAAAAGGGAAATAGATCAGTGTGTAAACTAAAAAAGTCTCTATATGGATTGAAACAGTCTCCCAGAGAATGGTTCGACAAATTCACACAAGCAGTCAAAAGAAGAGGCTTCATTCAAGCACAGACTGATCATACTCTCTTCCACAAACACTCTAAGGATGGTAAAATTGCTATTCTTATTGTATATGTAGATGATATAATTCTTACAGGTGATGATATTGAGGAATTGAACACCTTGAAGAAATTTCTAGCAGCTCAATTTGAACTCAGACCTTGGCACTCTCAAATATTTCCTTGGTATGGAAGTTGCTAGGAGCAAAACAGGCATCACTCTAACACAAAAGAAATATGTTCTAGATCTTTTGTTGGAAACAGGAATGTTAGGGTGTAAACCTGCTGAGACACCTGTGGAACCTAATACCAAGTTAGGTATTGAAGATGGGAATGAGGTGGATAAAGAACAATATCAGCGATTGGTTGGTAAACTAATCTACTTATCTCATACGCGTCCTGACATTGCCTTTGCGGTGAGTATGATTAGTCAATTCATGCACTCACCCAAGGAGAAGCATCTTAGTGCAGTCTATAGGGTGCTTAGATACCTCAAGAATACTCCAGGAAGAGGATTATTCTTTAAAAGGGGGTATAAAAGGACAATTGAAATCTACACTGATGCAGATTGGGCAGGCTCATCAGTAGAAAGAAGATCTACCTCAGGCTATTGCACCTATGTGTGGGGAAATCTTGTTACTTGGAGAAGCAAAAAGCAAACAGTGGTTGCAAGAAGTAGTGCTGAAGCAGAATTTCGAGCTTTAGCTCTTGGAGTTTGTGAAGGAATCTGGTTGAGAAGACTTCTTCAAGAGTTGAAGATTTCATATTCCCTACCAATAAAACTATATTGTGACAACAAGGCAGCTGTTAGCATTGCTCAAAATCCTGTGCATCATGATCGAACAAAGCACGTGGAAGTTGATCGTCACTTCATCAAAGAAAAATTAGATGATGGAAGTGTGCATTTGATATATGTTCCAACCAAAGAGCAAACGGCAGATGTCCTTACCAAGGGCCTACACCGTCCAGCATTCGAAGACTTGATTGGCAAGTTGGGAATGATCAATATTTACCTCCCAACTTGAGGGGGAGTATAGAAAATTAGAATTCAAACATGTTTCCGTTTTTATTTCCTATTAATTAGGATTGATTATGATTGATTATGATTGATTAGGATTAATTGTGATTGATTAGAATTGAGTGTGATTAGGATTGTGATAGGATTGATTAGTCATCGCTTAGTCATTCTTAGCGATTCTTTCTTGTATAAATACTCACTCATGTAATTTATTCAATATCAATATACAAAAACTTCTTTTCAATAATTCTGATATTTGGGGTCCAAATCGAACTTTGTCTGTTTTGGGTTTTCAGTATTTTGTAACCTTTTATTAATGATTTCTCTCGTTGTACTTGGTTTTATTTAATGAAAAACCGTTCTGAATTATTTTCAATTTATCAAAAATTTATGCTGAAATAAATACTCAATTTGGTGCTTCTATTAAGATATTGCGTAGTGATAATGCAAAAGAGTATGTCTCTCTTGATTTTTCTAATTTTTTGGAAAAACATGGAACGATACACCAGACCACCTGTCCACACTCTCCACAACAAAATGGAGTGGTTGAACGTAAAAATAGACATCTGGATGAAACTGCACGTACCCTTCTAATTCATATGAATGTTCCACTCTGTTTTTGGGAAGATGCTATTATCACCTCTTGCTTTCTCATCAATCGCATGCCTTCCTCTGTGCTAAATAATGAAGTTCCACATAGTGTATTATTTCCAGGAGCACATTCCTATCCTCTACCTCCACATATATTTGGATGTACTTGCTTTGTTCACGATCTTACTCTAGGAAAAGACAAATTAACATCCAAAGCCTTCAAGTGTATTTTTCTGGGATATACTCGTTTTCAAAAAGGGTATCGTTGTTATTCTCCTGACCTCAAGCGTTATATTGTCTCTGCTGATGTCACTTTTCTTAATCAACAACCTTTTCATTCTATCCCGTCTCAGATATCACAGGTTGATCAGGTTCTTCCTGTTCCTTTTCTTGACTTATCTTTACCAGCTACAGGTGACTCTATCCCAGAGGAGCAACCTCTTGCCTCCATCCCAGAGGATTGCCCTTTTCTCACCTATCAACGTCGTCAGACTGCGCCTCCTGCGGACTTGACCCTTGTTGACTCATCATCTTCTCTTGTCGACTCTTCCCCTTTGGATCCTCCATCAGAGATTACTCTCATTGCTCTTCGTAAAGGTATTCGATCCACTCGCAACCCTCATCCACTTTACAGTTTCTTGAGTTATGATAAACTTTCTTCACCACATTTTACTTTTGTTTCTAGTATTTCGTCTATTTCCATTCCTAAAACCACAGGTGAAGCACTTTCTCATCCAGGTTGGAGTCAGGTGATGATTGATGAAATGCAAGCACTTCACTCCAATGGCACATGGAATCTTGTTCGTGCTCCTCCTGGGAAGTAGATTGACGGTGTCAATGGGTATTCACAATCAAAGTTGGTCCTGATGGCACTATTGATCGCCTCAAAGCTCGATTAGTGGCTAAAGGATACACTCAGATTTTTGGTCTTGACTATGAGGATACTTTTTCTCCTGTTGCCAAGATGGCCTCTTTTCGTCTGTTTCTTGCACTTGCTGCCATTCATCATTGGCCTCTTATTCAGCTTGATATCAAAAATGCCTTCTTACATGGTGACTTGCAGGAGGAAGTATATATGGAGCAACCACCAAGTTTTGTTGCTCAGGGGGAGAGTTCTGGCATGGTATGCAAGCTTCATAAATCTTTATATGGCCTGAAGTAGTCTCCTCGGGCCTGGTTTAGTCGCTTCAGTTCCGTTGTTCAATCCTTCGGTTTAACCCGAAGTAAAGCAGATCATTTTGTCTTCTATCGACATAGCTCTTCTGGCCAGTGCATCTATCTCTTGGTCTATGTTGATGACATTATTATTACTGGCAGCGATCAAGCTGGGATTGATCAGTTAGAAGTACTTATTCAATCAGTTTCAGACCAAAGATCTTGGCAGACTTCGATATTTCTTAGAAATCGAAGTAGCACAGTCTAGGCAGGGCATTTCCATTTGTCAGAGGAAGTATGCACTGGATATCTTAGATGAGACTGGTATGTTGGGATGTAAACCCATTGATACAACTATGGATCCTAATATTAAGTTATTACTTGGACAAGGGGAGCCATTGGCAGACCCTGGTCGTTACCGCCGACTAGTTGAAAAGTTGAACTATAGTTCATAGAAATTACTAATCGGAATTTAGAATAAAAGGCTTCATATTCCGTAAAAAGCTTGAAGCAATATTCTTATATCAGGAAAACTAGTAGGAAAGAATTTCTCAAAAATTAATTAACATGGAGCAAGCAAAGTAACACATTTGAAAATAACTCTGGAGCAAGCAAGTAAATCTCTTTGGCAAACAGTTGTGTATTTATAAATAATTTAGGTTGAACCTGCCCTATTCATGCCTTCTAATGAAATTTTAATTCAAAAAGTTTAAAGAAAATAAAAGAGTAACATCTTGTAATAAACAAATCTAATAGAAAGTAACTGTTGGAGATAGGTTCCTGAGCTGTTTCTACACTTGGGAATGACCAACAATAGTTATTGGGAAGTGAAACAGTAATTGATATAGCATTGGAGAATCTAGGATTTAATGTAGCATTGGAATTGTAAAGAACCTTGGGATACACCACCCCAAAAGCTAGCTCAAAGGGTGGGAGTGCCCAAGGCCTTATAAACTCCACATTAGTTGCACATACAACCAATGTGGGACTATATATATCTCAACACGCCCCCTCACACGAGAGCCCATTGGGCTTGAAGAGTGGACAATGCAACAGGTCCAGTCTACCTGCGCTAAGAAACTCCACAAGAGAAAGTGGGGGACGGCGAGGCTCTGATACCATGTAAAGAACCTTGGGATACACCACCCCAAAAGCTAGCTCAAAGGGTGGGAGTGTCCACGGCCTTATAAACTCCACATTAGTTGCACATACAACAAATGTGGGACTATATATCTCAACACGAATCAATAGGGTCCTAGGAAATAGTTAAAATTCTTGTAAATACAAGTTCTATTTATTTCTTCATGTATAAATATCAGAATACTAAGCACCACCTTATGAGTTAAGATTTTGTAACTTGTGTTTTTAATTTTGAGGGTAGAATGAGTTGTCGACTTGTCGTGGATGGGAAGGGAAAAAGTGAAAGTTTTTAATTTTTTTTTAAATAATTATATTTTTTCAAAATTATAATTTTATTAATATATTTAATTTTTTTGAAAATTTTAATTTTATTACAAAAATTCCATTTGAACTTGTGACACGGTCAAATTCGCATGTCAGATTGGTCAACGTGTCGGGAATGTTGATCATGTGTCGGACACCATGTAGGAGCGTATCTAAGTGTCCAACACCAACACTTCAGGTTTTTTGAAGTGTCGGTACTACATAAATAGTAACTTTTATTCAAACTAGCATACCCAGTCAAGGTAAAGCAGAGGATATGATATCCTTATAAAATTAACACACACACACACAAAAACAGCTAAGCAGAAAACTCCTCAATTAAGTAATCTCACCATCTCTTTACATAAGCAGTTTTCTACAAAAGCAACTCCTACGAAGTAACCATTAGCTAAATACCATAAAGAAGCTATGAAAAGAACTTTATCCCATAATAGATGCCACATGAAGTAGCTGGACTCAGTTTATTATGTTTAGATTATTGTTATTGTATGAAGGTGATGAACATAGCTTTTAAGAGTACCATCTCTCAACAATGTCCGGAGGCAAACAAGGCTTCTTCGAGAAATCAAGAACTTGAGGTACACAATTATAAGTCACTCTAGGTGGATCTAACAAGAGGAATACCTTCAAGTGCTGAAGTTGAGAAGTATAGACATGTTTCGAATATTCAAATAATAGCTGGCCAAGGGCATCAGTGTGGGGAGGCAGTGCAGCACCAAGTCCAGCCATCCAACCATCCATAATTGCAGTTGAGAGAAGTTCCAACTGACCAGTTGAATCCCCCGATGCATCATTTACAGTAACCGATAGAAAGTCAAAGTTTTCTGCAAGCCAGGATCTAATTTGGCGCTGCAGCTCACCTGCTGGAGTATGTACAAAGAGTGCAGCAAGAGCCTTGTTCCCAATTGCAAAACTTTTGGCTTCATCAGTAATTTCCCTAAGCTTTCCACCAGTTACTTGCTGTCTCCAGAAGTCCTGTGCAGTTTATTTTAAATTGCAAAGAGATTAAGGCATAACGAACAATCTATATGAAACCTAAGTTCAAACAATGAAAATGTTTTGTTAGGTGTGGGCCAGAAAAGAAATAAGACACAAAAGGAACCCAAAAATAAAAGAATGAACGTCATGTCTTCATCGAAACTTATAAGTTTAATAAAGGTTAACTTGCCCAACCTTCATTGCTCATCCAGTTATTAAGATGATAATAGAAGATAGGGACACCAAGAAATGGTACAATTTATAATGTTCAAAAGTTCAAAAAGAAGTCAAGGAGAAACTACTATATCCTTCCTCAATAGTTTTCTATTCCTCCTTAACTGAACTCTTCCGTGTGTTAGTGTATACAGCATAAAGAAAGATTATATAATAATAGATTAACAGGCATTAGCAGCTACCTGATCTATCCCGCGTATCTTCAAGACAACAGATGAAAATTTGGACTTCTTTTCTGGCTTTAGATTCACTTTAAATGGCTGGATCTGCATATCAACATATTGCACAGGAGACCTTGGAGGACTATTCGCTCGGCTGGAAGTTCTACTGAACCCACTATTCGCCTTCTCAAGAAAGCACTCAACTGGCAAGACCTTCCAATTCAATGAGCAAGACTTACCAAATTAACAAAAGGTATGCCACTAGACTAAATAAAACACCACGAGATACACAATGAAAACCTTATTAGAACATTCTTTTTTTTAAAAAAAAAAAGATAAATCCAATAACCTCTATTTATTATTACCTTAATTGGTTGCAACTCTGGGGATCTTGCGAGCAAAGATCTTATATACAGAACTCTAACTCGGGAAACAAGCATGGTGTCCATTACTCGCTTTGGTTCCATCTTCCTAATAAAAGAGAAAACAGCTTCCCTAATTTCAGCAAGTATCTCATGTTCTCTAGAGGCACCAGCTTTGATAACAGCTGCCAGAACCTGCAACCATTTTGAAATATGCTCAAAAAATTCTAGCCTGAAATAAATATTGACATGCAGTCAGTATTGGAACTGGTTCAAGCATTTTATTGAGGCTGAGCAATCAACATCACTGAATTGGAATTGGTCTCTTTATCCTTACATTTGTTATGTATAGAATTGTATGTACAATCTCTCTTTGATGCTCAGTACATGGTTGTTACAAGTCAATTTATATTACTAATTTGCAAAGTGTTTGGACCACTTTGCAGAATTTTTGAGCCGCTTTAGCTTGCTTTTGTCTTTTGTTATTCTTACTCATGAGGATTTTTTGTTGTCTCAACAAGGATGTTTTTTTCCCTTTAATAATATATTCTTATATAATTAAGGGGGGAAATTGCTGCAAATTGAGAAGGAAAAAATCAGAAAACTATAAGCTTCCATTCACTTTCAAACTGAATTGAGATCACGCATTGTCAAATTCCCAGATTATGGCAGCTAAAAGTCAAACTCACAATTTCGTGAAGGGTTGTTAGTGGGCGAAGGTAGAGGGAACTTGGTGGAATTTTACATGGTTTGTGTGAAGGAATACATTGTAGTAGGGGTCAGTGAGGCTTGGGTCTTGGGTTGTGGCATGGTGTTGTGTTTGAGGCACAAAGTTGGAGATGGAAATGCGGGAATTTCTTGTAACTTAGTGTTATGGGCCTTAACCCATATAGCCTTTGTTGTTTTTATTTTTTTGGTAAATAGCCTTTGTTGTTTTACTCTTTTAACTTTTTTATCTTTGTTATATTGTAAAAAAACTCATGCCATTGGTAATTAATGTAGAAATATACAGTTACAAACACAGTATCAAGAATTGTGTGGTAAAGGTTGTTTTCTCAAAGTCACATCAAACCGGCGGCACATCGCCAGAAAACTCAAAGTCCAGCCATTATTAAGGCTGTTTTCACTTCCTACAAAGCCCCAACCGCAAAGTAAGGCTGCTAGTCACTGTAGAAGGCCAAAACCAGTCGAATCCAAGCCTTCCACCATCGTCAGCCATCGTCTACCGTCGCCGGAAAATTTTTCCAGCGACTTTTCTGGCCAAAACATACACCAATAGAATCAGAACAAGCCAATCTACAAGGTTCCAAGAAGGCCCACGAGCATCCGCCCCTCCACACACCAGAAACAAGCTAGAGAGTGACATCCCATGCGCGACCCTATTCGGCGCGTGTCATCCACGCACCACCCTACAGACTTCCAGTCAGCTTCGGATTTGTCTCATTGGATTCGTCTTCTTCTCTTCTATTTGTTTCCTGGTCCAAATCTGTGACTAGAGACAATTTTTTTCTAGATAACCTTAGTCTTCTCTCATGGCTTCCTCCATTGGCTCTACCACTACGTCTTCAGCTTCCAACTAGCAGGCATATGGTGAAAATCAGTCCCATCAGATAAGTAATCACAAGTTGAATGGAAAAAACTTCCTTTGATGGTCTCAATCAGTCCAATTGGTTATTAGAGGAAGGGGCAAGGTGGGTTTATCTCACGGGAAAGATTAAAGAACCTCCTGAAGATGATCCAAAATAAGTAGATTAAGAGATCAACAACTCTATTGTCATGGCTTGGCTGACTAATTCTATGGAACCTCAAATTAGCCGCACTTATTTGTTCCTTAAGACGGCTACGAAGATTTGGGATGCTTTAAAAAAGAATTATTCAGACCTAGAAAATAGGTCCCAAGTCTTTGAGATCAAGAATAAACTAAAAGAGTTACGTCAAGGGGGCATGTCTGTCACTGAATACTATACTATTGCAAAATTTGTGGCATGAACTTCATCTCCACTGTAAGACTGATCTTGGAGGTTTGGAAGCTGACACCAAGTTTCAGAAACATATGGAGAAGGAGAGACTTTATGAGTTCCTAGCTGATGAGGTCAGAGGACGTGTTCTAGGAAAGCGACCATTACCTTTACTTGATGACGCCTTTGCTGAAGTTCAAAGGGAAGCTAGTAGGATGCGTATCATGTTAGGAGAGGAATTGTCAGTGGATGTGAAGAAGATTGCTTATGTATCTACCTTAGCCGTCAAGGGTAACCCAGATCGTGCCTTTAAAGATCAGAAAGGGATAGGTATACCATTGTGTATTCATTGCAATAAAGAGGGTCATACACATGACACTTGTTGGGATATTCATGGAAAGCCAGCAAGTTGGAAGCCTAAAAGAAGAAGCAAGAGTCGTGGCTATCAGGCTTCTGTTGAAGATAAGGCAGAAGACAACCGAGCCCCAGGTGATTCAAGTGGTGTTTTCCTAAGCAAGACTCAATTTGATCAACTACAAAGGCTTTTGAATACGTCTGCTAGTTCTGAATCCAGTATGGCATCTAGCAATGTAGCTAAACAAGGTAATGTGTTTCATATCGATGGTAGTACTTGTTAGGTACTTGACTTCGGGGGCTCTGATCACATGACAGGTAATCCAACATTGTTCGATTCCTATAATCCATGCTATAGGAACTCTCGGGTAAAAATAGCGGATAGAAGTTATTCTAAAGTTGCAGGGAATAGGTCAATCAAACTCTCCGAGAAGATTGTGTTACATTCTGTTCTCCATGTTCCTAATTTAGCATGCAATCTCATTTCTGTTAGTAAGCTAATAACAGAGCTTAATTGTGTTGTTAAATATTCAATTCATGGTTGTTTTTTCAAGAACAGGAATCAGAAAGGATGATTGGCAGTGCTAAAGAAGACGGAGGACTTACATTTTTTAGGGATCTGATCATGTGGAGAATCAAGCTACTTTTGGTGAAAATGATCTTTTTTTTGTTTCCAATTATGGTTATGATGTAATATTGTGGCATCATAGGTTAGGCCACCCAAATTTTCATTATCTTCAAAAATTGTTTTCAATGAAAAATCTAGTCTTTTCTTGTGATATCTGTCAGTTAGCAAAACATCCTCATGTATCACATCCCATTAAAAAATATAAAAAATTCTCCATGTTTACTCTTATTCACGGTGACATATGAGGTTCATCTCGTGTAAAAAATATTTCTGACTCGAGATGGTTTATAACATTCATTGATGACCATTTTTGAGTGAGTTGGGTTTACCTTCTCAAAGAAAAGCCTGATACTGCACAAGTTTTCAAAAAGTTTCATGCCATGGTTCAAAACCAATTTGGCACCTCTATAAAAATTCTTCGGATGGACAATGGTAAAGAATACTTTAATTTCGTCCTTGGAGAATACTTGTCTTATCATGGCATCCTTCATTAGAGTTCATGTCCTAATACTCCTCAATACAACGGGGTAGCCGAGAGAAAAAATAGGCACCTTCTGGAAGTTCCTCGTGCTATTATGTTCGCCATGCATATTCCTCCAAAATTGTTTGGTGTGTTGTGTTTGTCTATGTTCCATCACACCAACGATCCAAACTTGATCCTAAATCACACAAGTGTGTCTTCATTGGATACTCTCCTACTCAAAAGGGATATAAATGTCAGTCCCCATCTCTCTGAAAGGTGTTTGTCTCTATGAATGTCACTTTCTTTGAGATTCAATCTTTCTTTTCCCAGCCTTCAGTTCAAGGGGAGCTTCTAGATGAAGACCAGTCATGGGAACCCGCAGTTTTACCTCATCCCTACATTACAGAACTCACCACAATTGGAAATAGAGGGAGATGAGCAGTTGAAAAGAGATGGAGACAATAATCAGCAAAAACAATTGTTGGTTTATAGTCGAAGACAGCCTCTTCAAATTGTAAATAATCTAAAATCTTTGCACAGCCTGGATTCCACTTTGGCTTCTAGTTCCAAAACCCGAGTCCACGTTCCTACGAGGATTTACATTTGTCAATTGCTCTCAGGAAAGGACCCAGATCTTGTTAAAGAAGGTTTTTTTGGAATTTGAGAACCGTTCTCTTTTTTTTTCTCCTTAATTCAATATGAATGATGAATACACTGTTATATAGATAGATGACTTTACAACTAACTTAGTCATCATATCTTCAGAAAATAAAATAAAATCCTAACAAATAGAAAACAGAATCCTAATTAACAATTTGATAAAATAAGCTCTAAAAAACAAACGAAACAAACTAAAAACAAATCTAACTAATTATTAAATTCAAATTAATAACAGCAACACAGATAACTATCACATAAATCGATCTTCATGATTCGCATATTGTATTTCATATCCCATTTCTCAATGTCTCCTACGATAGATTATCTCCAGGTTTTCGTGCCTTCAACACTGTCATGGATAGTATGAAGCATAGTAGTTAAAAGCGGCGCTACCCGCACCGTTTGCGGGTTGCGGTGGTCGACCGCAAGAAATAGCTCCGCGCCGCGCCGGAAAGAGATCGCGTCTTTAGCGGCCGTAATAGCGGAGGAAATTGCGTCAGTTTTGGCAAAAATCGCGGCTAAAATGGAGCTCTCTCTCTCTTCTGCGTTTTTAAATGGAGCTCTCTCTCTTCTGCGTTATAAAGACGGAGACGAGAAAGAAGACCACGTGACTTGTACAATTCATTTTGAATCTGATATTTATTATAATATTATTTCCCAAGACTTTTATTTTATAAAATGGAGAGCTCTCTCTCTCTTCTGAGTAACTCGGGCATGACACTGAAAAGTAATTTGTTTTTTATGAATTAAGATATATAATCAAAAGCTGATTTATATGTTATGGGTAAAAAAATATCAAAAGATATTGTTCAAAATCTTAAAGATACAAGTTATATACAAATAATTAATAAATTATTCAACAAATTATTATTATTTGTGACTGATACAAAAATGTGTCCTATCAGATATATATAACCGACATATTTTTGTATCCGACCAGATATTTATATATATATATATATATATATATATATATCCTATAAGAGTCAAATTTACATACAATCATCTCTTCTCTACCTTTCCACCATATTTATATACAATCATATATATAACCGACACATTTTTGTATCCTATCAGATATATATTACCGACATATTTTTCTATCCTATCAGAGATATATATATCAATATAT